TTGAAATACCCGGACAGACGCACACACACACGCACACACACATACACACACGCACGCCGGGGTCGTCACAGTATGTGTTTTTGCATATTATGCAAAAACGCATAAGAAACTAATTATGCTTCATTTAATTTACTAATAGAGAAAATAGACAATAATAAATCCAAAGTAATGAGCCTTGTCACTGTAGTATGGAAATCTTGGAGATGTTAACGGACTCAGCGAATAAAAAAAGTTTTAATAGCAAATCAGTACTTGCATGTGTCTGGCAGACAAGCTAGCCGCCATGAGCGTCTTTCTGAGCAACCATCGGCAGCCTTGCTGCTGTTGGCACTTACTATCACTGGAATACTTGGTGCCTCCATTTCTACTAAGAAGTTAAAGAGTTTGAGTTTTGAAAAATTCATTATTTACTGTTGAAAAGACCAAATGTTCATTAAGGAAAAACTTCTTTTTTATGCGTTTTTTGCAGCTATGCAAAGCAGAAAACGCATATTGACGAGGGGTTGTCTTTGTGTGCGCAGGGCCTCTGTACCGATTTTTCATCTCGAGACCTACAAAAGCTGCTGGGCTGAAACTTTAGGAAACTAATTTACATACGGGCCCCCATCCCCAAAATGGGCGCCATTACTCGCGTGGCACCTACGTAAGAGGCCGCCAAAGTTTTTCACGGGCAAGCTGCTAACTCGAGAACCAGAAATGCTTGAGAGCTGGAATTTAAAGGGGATATTCCCCATCCTAGTAGGTGTTAATAAACTCAGAACCAGCCTCCGGGTAAGCGTGATACCCGCGCACGGGCCCGTGAAAGGTTTTTTCGGGTAAGTTGATAACTCGGGAATTTGAAAAGCTAGAAAGCTGATATTTTCCCCTGTCCACGTAAGTCTTAATGAGCTTCAGACCCATCCCTCGGGTATGTGTGGTACCCATGCACGGGCTCACTAAAGTTTCTCTCAGGTAAGTTGCTAACTTGAGATTCTGAAGAGCTAGAAGACTGTAATTTTAAAAGAATCTTCCCTGTCCATCTAAGTTTCAACGAGCTCAAATCCAGACATCGGGTATGCGTGCTACCCAGGTACGGACCCATGAAATTTTTTTCCAGTAATCTGCTAGCTCTGGAGCTAGGAAAGCTAGAAAGCTGAAATTATAAAGGGATGTTTCCTGACAGTTCTGGCATCAGACTTAATTTGTTTAGCTGGAAGCATTTGTCGAAAAAACCAGTGCCGGTAGCAATGAAAACTGCGGAGAACTACGCAAAAAACGCATCTTCGCACGGACAGCCTGTGCAGTGGCCAATTATTAATAATGTTTAATCATTTCCAGACTTCACGGCAACACAACGCTCATTGTGTACAATGCAAATTCACAGCCAGTAAGCACTGTTTTACGGATCCCGATTTATTCTCAAATGGCTACCGTATGGTCATCTAACGAAAAACCTATTAACATTCAGGTTTCACGTTGTTTTTCCTTAAAAAAAATATTTCTTTCCCCATATTTTGCATGGCAAACTGGACTTCTGGCAGAGAGCCTTGGATTTTATCAGGGTTTCTGCCAGAAATCCTGATAAAATCAAAGGGTCTCTGCCAGAACACATATGACCTGTTGCTGACTCTCTTTTGCAACGTGCACTCAGCATCTTTTCCATAATGGTCAAAAATACCACTTATTGTATCACTGAGCAGTATATAAACAAATATGCATCTTGTGATTACAACTGAAACTTGCATTCATGCTTTCATCAGCTGCTGTTTCATCATTGCATTTCTTTCCGCCACTGGTGTAGCTAGCAATTTTTCTACACTTATGTATTTTGGTTTTAATGATTATTAGTTTTGTGTGGGCCACTAAGAGATAGAAAAGTTTATCAGGGGGTGTGTTGTTGAGTTAGGACTAAATAAATCGGATTTTATTAAAGTAAAATTTTCAGATAAATAAAGCATTCTACAATGGGGCACAACTGAAACACGAACTTTCAGCGCCCTACGAATTGCTTCTTCCAGCGAGCATATCTGCACTTGGCTTTGCTACATTCTTCTTATCAAATCAAACGTTTGTGTATTTTTTTTTATTTAGCTGGAAATGAACTGCTTCGCATAGCTGCGCCTGGCATCTTAAAGCCAACGTGTTGATGAATCTTGATTTTTAATGAAAACTTATTCTCTTCAGAAAAAAAGAAACGGTGGAATATGCAAAAATCCGTTCCGTCCAAGAATTTGCGAAAAAAGATCAGGCAGAAGTAAATACAACATTTATGAGCAATGAGGTAGGTGGAATAGCGAGACATAAAGTAGAGGCAAAACTGCCAAGAGAATACAAAAGTTTTTAAAGTCATTGAGCCTTATGACCTTGGGGAATTTTGCAACTAATCCAAACGTGATGAACTTATTTTTCCATGTTTCAAATTCCTGCCTTTTATTTGTCAGCAGTTTCTTCAGTATCAGATTGTAAGTTTGCATTCTTTGCGTATTTACGTATTCTGTGTGGTAGATTTTGTAGGTTAGAAGTTAAAATTGATTACAAAAAGAGCTGCAGAACTAAACGTAATTTTTAAATTACCTTACTTCTTGACGTATAAAGTAAGCGTGCTCCCAGGCGGCAAGCTACACCATTATGGCCTGGAAGTCGCATCGCATGGGAACAAGATGGTGATGCTCGAAATAAGAGATAAATAAAACCTTGCCAAAGTGTTTCTGTCAGAAGAGCCGTTTAGCCGGTAATCCCTTCAGGCGACGAAAGGCTAGGAATGCGTCTCGTATATCAGTGGTGAATCAATAGTCTGAAGTTGATCATAGCCCAAGGCATGACGACTATGCTACTATACCTAATTCTCGACTACCTACACGATCAGCGACATCCTGGCTTTATATTGCAAAACTGAATTTACAAATGCAGACGAACATGACCTTGCTCAAATGCACTTTACAACTTGTCAGAAGTGAACTGAAATGCTAAAAATATGTGAAATCATGTAGATATCTCAATAATTTCCAGCATATTGAGCTTACGTTCGATTCATCTGGCCAGTTGGTATCGTTGAAAAACCTAGAAAGCGGAAAAATAACCAAATTAAGGCAAGAGTTCCTTATGTACAAAGGAATGGGTTTTGCTAAGCCCAAAAATCAATCTTCCGGAGCTTATGTCTTTCGACCAAATGGTACCAAGGCGTTCCCTATTACAAATGCTACATCATCTGCACAATTTGTGAAGGTATTAATTAGATATCATTCCAACGCTAAAAGACAATTTGGTTATGAGTTCAGGATATTTGCAACGCTATAATTAAAATTAAAATTAAGAACTAGCTGGAATACTGACAGA